TCTCAAATCTCATCTAAAAAAATGCTCTCTTGATTTTTTGTTCCCTTGAAAACTTGTTCTCTCTTCTTTGAAATTTTTTTTATTTCTTCCACCGAACCCCTCAAAAAAACTCCTCCAGATTTCTTACTTGATTTTTTTATACCCCTCTTCAATCTCACGTTTTTAGGGTTCCATAAAATGTCAAATTTCTGAGCCTTTTCCTTTTTCATGCTTAAAATTGGTTTTTGATATTGGGGTATAAGTACTATATAGTGCAGGCTTCTATTTCTGGGAACTACTCTTTTTTTTAAATTTTCTATTTTTTGTAAAATAATTATATTTTTTAGAAAATTTGGAGACAATCCATAGGAGGAAAAAATTAGTTTTCACAGTTGCCCCTTTTTACTCAGTTCACATCAATTAGAGACATTTTATGTAACACCCTGTTTTCATTATTCAGAAAGTTATGTTTTGTTTGATATTAAATAGCATTAAAATGTTTTAGGAGTAAATTAAGAAGAGTTTTACAAGAGGTTGATGCAGGGAATCTCTCTCAAGCGAGAGGAATCTCGCTCAAGAGAGATTAAGCGTCTAGAAATATCCTATTCCAGAGCAATCTTGTTTAGGCGAGATAGGATAGAATTTTCCCAATAGTCACCTCACTCAGGCGAGAATGACCTCGCTCAGGCGAGATGGAGATCTCACCCAGGCGAGCTGCATCATTCAGGAGAGATGGAGCTCGCTTAAGTGAGCCTACTAGAAAAACGTTGGAAAAACCATTGTCTGCATATCTCGCTCAGGCGAGGGATCTGTCGCTCAAGTGAGATGCTGTTGCTTAAGCGAGTTGTTCGTCGTCCAAGCGAGATCGCACGAGGCTGAGGGTTATTTAAGTGATTTCCAACATGAAAATTCATTTCATTTCTATAACTCAGTACCTCTCTCTTATTCTTTAAACTCTCTCTTTCCAATTATAGATCATAGCTTTAGAAACTCCAATATTTCACCGAATAAGTGCTCAACCTTCTGCTCTATAAAATCGACGGTGAGTATCTTAAAGCTCAAACTTCTTATTTTCACTTCTATTTTCTCTATTTTCTCTTTTCTCAAAGAATCTCTTTTCTATAAGGTGTAGAACTACCTTGATCCGTGAACCAACCTCCTTCTACTTTCTCATCACCCAGAATTAATTTTCTAAGGTAAAGAGAGCTTTATCTTATTACTAAGAAATGTTGTGTTTGTATGTATGAAAATGTTTAATTTGAATATATGATGGGTGATAATATGTTTTTGATATAGTTGGAATATGACTTATTTTGTATGAAGCATGTTTTGGTGATGATTAATGATGATTGTATTCTTTATTTTGAATATATGCATGAATGTGGTGGGCTGAGTATGAGAGAACTAACTCTCGACAGTGATTGAGTAATATATGATATAATATGAACTAAGGGAAATATGGAAAGATAAGATAGAAACATGGAAATGATAAGGAAAGAATATGATAAGGACGTGTATAGATAGTTTAGAGGTATATTGGGAGTATGGAAGATGGAGAAGACTGAAAAGTCTTGGGGAAATGAGGGTGGTGGATGTTCCTCTTGAATTGTGCAAGATAAATGAGAGTAAGAGCACCACATGCCTCACATTTATTTCCTGATTAAACTCCTGACCATGCTTTTACTAAAAGGGATCGGGTCAGCATACGTTGTATTCGTGTAGCTGCGGCTATCCAGGACTATCTATGCTAAGGAAGATCTCGAGGGATCCCAGAGGAAGTGAAATTGAGAAAATGGAAGTGTTAGTAGTAATGAACTTAAGTTGAATAAATTAGAATATTAATAATCTTATTGTATGATGCTTGTATAATTGTTTCATATGTATCATTGAATTATTTGTGATTATATGCTTGGTAATGAAAATAGGGACTCATCCTTACTTAACCATTTCAGGAACCCAGAATGACAACACCCACCGAAAGCATTAGGCTTGTAGATAGAATCCATCATACTCTATGTGTATATATCTTTCCTAGTACAGTGAGGACCCTAGCAACTTTGACGTATCTGTTCACGTATCACGACCACAATTATCTTAGGAGACCATGTCATTGGACGTTCAAGAGAATTACTAGTACTCAAGTTATTGCAAACCTTGGTGACGTATATCTCGAGTCAGATGATGACCTCGATTCCGATGATATTGCGAGGATAGAGGGATGACATGGGGATGACTAGCGTCTCTTAGTCATGCGATGGATAGGCTGCTCGTTAGGACTTATTATGTTTGTATTTTGTAAATGTTGGAAAATAGTTCTAATATATTTTGATGTATTATGATGAATATTTTGTAAATGTTGATATTTTGTATATTAAGAGGATATTGTATGTTCATTTTATTTCGATGATTCTTCTAGAGATTTGTTTAATTTTAATTGTTTATATTATTCAAAGTTCTTATGCATTTCAACAAAAATCACCGACTATATGATAATTTCACTGGTTATTTTTAATCGGTAATAGATTTAACTAAATTTTCATAATTTTACATAGATTTTACTATTATTAAGTTAAATAAAAGTAAGGATGTTACATTTTAAAGTTAGAGTTGATGAAAACTGAGTAAAGAAATGAATCAATTTTTGTCTAAAAGGAGCAAGGTGCACAAGGAAGGCAAAGACAAATATAGTGAACACTTAACTATCATAGGAAGCTATAATTTATGGCGATTTGCATTAAACAAAATTTTGAATTGACATTGAACTTTGACTAAAATCAATGGTTGTTAGGCAGATACTGGGCTTAGGTTTTGACAATCAAACAAAAATGCATTAGGCAAATTTAGACTTAAACAGAAAGATAAAAGATGCAAGGTGTGAGTCAGGTTCTGAATTCTAACAAAAAGATAAAAGGTGTGAGTCAAGTTCTGGGCTATGAAAGAGAAATAAAATGTATCAATCAGGTTCTAGGCGTTGATAAAAAAATGTACTAGTCATGTTCTGGGCTTTGACTGAAAGGTAAAGGTGCCAGGGGGCTTTGATAGAAAAGTGAAAAAGAGGTCGGTCAGATTATGAACTTTGACAGAAAAGTGAAATATGACAGGTAGGTTCTAGGCTTTGACAAAAAAGTGAAATGTGCCAGTTTGGTTATGAACTTTGATAAAAAAGTGAAATGTGCCAGGTAGATTCTAGGTTTTGACAGAAAAGTTAAATGTGTCAGTTTGGTTTTGGACTTTGATAGAAAGGTAAAACATGCCAATCAGGTCTTAAGCTTTAAAAGAAATGTGAAGTGTACCAGTTAGGTTTTATGCTTTGACAGAAAAATAAAATGTGCCAGTCAATTTCTGGGTTTTGACAGAAAGTAAAGGGATTTTAACAAGAAATATAAAGAAGACCAGTCAGGTTTATAACCTAACAAAAAATAAATAAAAAAAGTCAGCCAACTTCTAGACACCTTAACAATAAGAGTGAAACAGGAAAGTAAAGAGATCAATCAGTTTCTAAATTTTGATGAAAGGTAAAGTACCCAGTCGGATCCTGGACATGGACTAAACATAAAGGTTGTAAGGTAGATAATGAATTTAAATTAAACTTCTAAAAGGTGACAATGGATAAAAACAAATACATACTAATATAGTGATGTGATTGCACAAACCAGATGAATGTTAACATATAGAGAAAATTAATGCATGATGATTTCAAATGATCTAGTGAGACATTACATTAAAACTAATTTTTTTTTTCTGAGTATTCTACTTTTCAACCTTATTAGAACATGTATCTCAAGGTTCATGAATGAATATGTTTTTTAGTCAGGATCAACTATTTCATGAAATCTGAGTTGAGTGAGGTATCAATCAAATTGGACTACTATTTATTTTTGAATTGTCAAGAGGAGTTAACTTCTTTTGTCAAGCTGAACTTATTAGGAAATTCATCAGACTTATCGTGTGAGTTTTTAGAACCTATTATTGTAATCATATTTTCTTATTACATTTTAACAATTTACATGTTTCTTTTAAGTATATAATTATTAAAATGACAATAAAAATGTTGGTTAATGCTGTTGAAGAAGTTGAGTAAATGAAGTGGTGTATAAACTGAATGGAAGGTGACAAAAGTCAACGATAAATATTTTTGGAAAACATGGTGACTAGAAAAAAGAAATGATGAATTTACAAAGAAGACTTACGACATGAGTAACGAAAAAAAAATATATCAAAGGATCAGAATGACTACAAAAATTGTGAAGTATGCCGATTAAGTGACGTCTTCCAAATGAACAGTGCTAATCTCTTATGTAAATTGATCAGCTATTAATAAAACTACCAAATAAAATTGCCTCAGTATAGTATTTTGAATTCATCTTCTGTTTGATTCAACTTCAACCTCTCAAAATTGTCCCAATTTAGTATTCAAGTCCATCATATTTTCCAATTTGAAGTGTTTTCTTGCAACTGAAGTCTAGTGTATCTTCTGAATCGCTCTTTCAGGTTTTTAGTTCAGTGTAGAATTTATTTGACATTAATTTTTGCCTGAGCCGCTCTTTCGATTTTTTAACTCACTAGATTGCTCTAACTTTTGCCTAAGTCACCTTTCGTGTTTTCAACCTACCGAACTATTTTCTTTTTGTTTTCTTCTTTTTTTCTATCTTTTTTATAAAAAATATTTTAAGCATAGTATTTTTTGACAGCATCAGAATTGATGGGGTTTGGAAGATCTTTTCCATCCATGTTTGTGAGGATTAAAGCTCTTCCTAAGAAAGTCTTTTTCACCACGTAGGGTCCTTCATAATTTGGAGACCACTTGCCACGATAATCTTTATGCGTTGACAAAATCTTTTTGAGCACCATATCTCTCTCACTGAATTCTCTTGGATAAACTTTTTTGTCAAAAGTCTTCTTCATCCTTCTCTGGTATAGTTGACCGTGACATAACGTATTCAATCGTTTTCCTTCAATGAAATTCAATTGATCAAAACGAGATTGAACTGATTCTGCCTCCTTCAATTTGGTCTCCATCATTACTCATGAAGAGGGAATTTCAACCTCAATAGGAAGTACTGCTTCCATTCCATATACCAAAGTATAGAGTTGCCCCCAGTTGAGGTACGAACTGAAGTTCGATATCCATGTAAGGCAAATGGCAACATTTCATGCCAATCCTTGTATGTCATCACCATTTTTTGAATGATCTTCTTAATATTTTTTTTGGTTGCTTTGACCCCTTCATTCATCTTTGGACGATGAGGGAAGAAGTTATGATGTCGAATCTTGGAATTGTCATACAATTCTTTCATCATTTTATTATAGAGATTAGTGTTGTTGTCTATTATTAACTTGCTTGGGAGGCCATATTGACAGATCAAATCCTTTTTAATGAATCTCACCACCACATTTTGGGTCACACTAGCATATGAGGTAGCCTCAAACCATTTTGTGAAATAGTTAATAGCAACCAAAATGAAGCGATGACCATTAGATACTTTAGGTTCAATGTGTCCAATAACATCAATTCCCTACATTGAGAAAGGCCAGGGCGATGATAAAACATTCAGAGTTGTTAGGGAAACATTAATATTGTCAGCATATGTTTGACATTTATGACATGTCTTCACATAGCAAAAGCAATTAGCCTCCATTGTCAACAAATAATATCCAGCCCTTAGAATCTTCTTTGCCATGGCATGTCCATTGACGTGAGTCCCAAATGAACCTTCATGAATTTCTTCCATGATCTTTTGTGTTTCTGAAGCATCCACACATCTGAGCAGAACCATATCATGATTCCTTTTGTAGAGCATATCTCCATTCATGGTATTTTAGGAAATTTTTAATGTCATGATACCAAGGTTTACCATCAGATTCTTCTTCAATCATTTGATAATAGACGGGATGATCAAGTTGTTGCATCTTTATGAATGACATGTCTTCCTTTTGAATCACTACAAACATTGATGATGTAACACGCTAAAATTTTAAATTCGTACAATGTATATTTCATCCTTTATAATTTGAGATAAATATGAATTTTGCATATAATGGGATTTATCATGAATAATCAATGAAGTTTTATTTTAGATATAATTATTTATACAAAACTTTCCTAATTTATAATATTAATGGTACGACAATAACAATAATTGATAATAAATATCGCAAAGCAGGATTTATTAATTTCATTATAACAAGTGAATAAAAGTTACTTTATAAATGGATTTGTTGTAAATAAAACTTTTCATATGTGTGTGTAACATAAATGGAACAACAATACTTTTTAAAGATAGTAATAAAACATAGTCAATTTTCCAATTTAAGAAACTGAACATGCATTCCTTAAATTAAGTATAATAATTTATAGACTATTGTCAAAATATATGGGATTTAAAACAATATTTATATAACCAAAATAATTACATCATATATACAAATTCAAGTCTCAGAGTAGTCTCCCACATAACCAAATACTGAAGATCATTCCTATTTATTAACCTCGTGCCAACTTTCTATCTCGACCAAATCCTCCGAATCCATATCATCATATAATCCCAGATAACAATCGCCTGAATCAGTTGTGACCTCTGTGGTAGTAACGCGCTTAAAGGTCCATTTAGACTGTCTTTCGAGGTGATCATGGTCATTATAGTTAAATAAATAAGTGAGGGCTGTCAAAATTCTAACAGTATCTTTATACATATAGATACATAGGGTCTGATGTATTCTATTCATAGGAAAATCAAAAGGGATACTACAAAAGAAATCCATTTCTAACATCACAAATGTTCTAGATTCATCTTCTACAATAACAGCAAATTTAAAATAACATACTCTTTAATATTCATTAAATATAAAATTAAGCCTATTATATACTGATCTATATATTTATCTAACTCTTTCCTGAGATTCCATTATCCTGTTTTCTTGAAAATATTAGTAAGGACGACCGCCTATTCTATCTTTTTTAAAACATTATATTACAAAATCATAACTTATAATATAAACACAATACATCTATTTTCACATTTATTCATATTGCAAATACATTCACATATGCACAACACAATAATTCATTACACATTTTCCATTCTCTCATTTCAATACGTACTTCTAGTGCACTATGATTACAGATATCGATGCCTCCAACATTTCTTGAGGTCTTACTCAACTAGGTAAATAGTCGCCAGTTAGCCTATGCATACGGATACAACATGTACAATAATCGGGCCCCTTAGCAAAGGCATAGTCAGGAGCCTAGTCAAGAAATGAGTGTGAGGCCATGTGACGCATTCGCTCTCAGAAAGAGTGTGTACACATACGCGAATGTCACTCACCACCCTACATTTCTCCTAGATTTTCATCGTCTCCAGACTCTATACTTCTAGTGTATCTCTATAACTATTCACACTAGATCCAATCCATATTCAACTCTTAAGTCACTCTCAAAGTTATCCTTTTTCCCATTCTTAAGATTGTGCTTAGTAAAGCACTTCCAGACTAATTCCATTTCAATCCATTCCATAAAATCACATCATAATCATTCAGCAAATTTAATTATATTTCACATTAAATACTCATCATATAATGCATATGCCAATCATTTAGTCTAAACAACTAATCAAACAAATATCTTTTCATTCATTATTCACATAATAACTATCTCAACCATATATTCTCATAAAATGTTCATATAACAGTACTCTATGAGCACAAAAAAAATGTTGTAGTATAACGATAAAATAGAGTCCTCCTTACCTCAAAGGTGCTTTCACAAAGAGATATTAAAAAAGGATCAAAGGTTAGCTATGAAAGTTCTCCTGAATATCAGGAGATATTCATAAAAAACAAAAACATAAAAAATGATAGGAGAAAATAACGTTTTATTTAGAGAAACTTACTTGGAGTCGTTTAGATTCAACATCCAAGCTTGGATTTGAAGAGAAATAAGAGTTTTTGAGACTTTTATCTAGATAATAGAAGATAGAGAGTTTAGAGAAAATTAAGAAAAGGGACATGAATTTAAAATAAAATGAAATTTCTATGCTGGAAATCTCTTAAATACCTCTCAGCCCCATGTACTCTCGTATGAGCGAGGAACAACTCGCTTGAGCGACGAACATCTCGCTTGAGCGATGGGTATCTCGCCTGAGTGAGATATGCAGACAGTGGTCTCGCCCACTATTTTCTGATATGCTTGCTTGAGCGAGTTCCATCTCGCCTGAGCGATATGAGATCCGAAGAGCATGATATTTCTCTTGTGAGTCCTCGCCTGAGCGACCCATCTTGCCTGGTCGAGATCCAAGTCGCCTGAGCGAGATCACTCTCGCCTGGACGAGGTGACAGTTGGGCTAAATTTATCCTTTCTTGCTTGAGCGAGATAGCCTTGCAACATTGTATTTTTGCACGCTTAGTCTCGCTTATGCGAGATTTACCTTGCCTGAGTAAGATCTCCTGTACCAAAATTCTTCAAAAAATCCTCTATAATCTCTTCTAAATGCACTCTAATACTACTTAATATTAAATAAAACATAAATTACCAAAAAATGAAAAAAGGGTGTTACAGATGACAAAGTGACTAAAGTATCAGCCAATTGATTCTCCTCACGAGGAAGGTGCTGGAACGTAACCTCATCAAAATACTTCACCAATTGTCTAATATAAGCTTGATAAGGGATCAATTTTGTATCTCGAGTCTCCCATTCACCTTTCAACTGGTGGATCATCAAAGCTGAGTCACCATACACCTCAAGAATTTTGATCTTTGACTCTATACCTGCTTGAATTCCTATAGCACATGCTTCATATTCAGCTACATTGTTTGTACAATCAAATAATAATCTAGTTGTGATTGAGATATATTGCTTCTCTGGAGAAATCAATATAGTACCAATCCCGTGTCCGAGTACATCAGAAGCGCCATCAAACATTATGACTCATTCGTCTTTTGTTGAAGATTCTTTCTCATTAAACAACGCCATTATATTTTCATTAGGAAATTCATACTGTATTGACTGATAATCATTCACTGGTTGATGAACTAAGAAATCTGTGAGAGTGCTGCCCTTGATTGCTTTTTGGATAACATACACAATATCATATTCTAACAAGAGGACCTGCCAACGGGCAATCTTTCCAGTAAGGGATGGTTTCTCAAAAATGTATTTGATTGGGTCCTTTTTTTTATACCAACCAAGTCATATGACTCAACATGTATTGCCTTAAACTACAAGCTGCCCAAGCCAAGGCACAACAAGTTTGCTCCAACAACGAGGACTTGGTTTCATAATCAGTGAATTTCTTGCTCAAGTAATAAATGACGTGCTTTTTCTGACCTGATTCATCATGTTGACCCAAAACACATCTCATGGATCCTTCTTACACTGTCAAATACATAATGAGTTATCTCCCTGGTATCAGCTGCATTAGTATCGGAGGATTCTGGAAATACTGTTTTATCTTCTCAAAAGCTCCTTGACAATCATCATTCCACTCCATCGGCTAATTTTTTCGTAACAACTTAAAAGTTGGCTCATAAGTAGCAGTTAACTGACATATGAATCGGGCAATGTAATTTAATTTCTCCAAAAATCCGTGGTCCTCTTTTTCAATGCAAGGCGGTAACATTTCAATGATTGCTTGTGCCTTGTCAAGATCAACCTTTATTCCTTTTTGATTGACTACGAATCCTAACAACTTGCTTGACCCAAAGGTACATTTGGCAGGGTTCAACCGCAATTTGAATTTCCTCAACCACTCAAACAACTTGTATAAATGTATAACATGGTCTTCTTCGGTCCTTGATTTGGCAATCATATCATCCACATAGACTTCAACCTCCTTATGCATCATATTATGAAATAATGTCACCATTGCCCTTTGATATGTTGCCTGAGCATTTTTCATACCAAAAGGCATGACCTTGTAACAAAAGGTACCCCAAGGTGTAATGAATGTGGTCTTCTCCATATCCTCGTCAGCCATTTTGATTTGATTATAACCCAAGTAACCATCCATAAAAGAGAAGAATGAATGTTGAGTCGTATTATCTACTAGCATATCAATGTAAGGCAATGGAAAATCTTTTTTAGGGATGGCTCTATTTAGATCCCGATAGTCAACACACATCCAAACTTTTCCATCTTTCTTAGGAACTGACACAATGTTGGCAATCCATTAGAGGTATTTAGCAGTGGCAAGGAAACCTGCATCAAATTGCTCCTTAACCTCCTCCCTAATCTTTAATGACATCACAGGTTTCATTCTCTTTAATTTTTGCTCAACCGGAAAACACTCTGTCTTTAGTGGCAATCTATGCTTAACTACATTAACATCTAGTCCTAACATATCTTCAATGGCAATGGTAGACAAGTTACACGCTAATACTATAAATTAATGCAAATATTATGTTATATTATTTACTTATTAAATTGAAAACATTATTTATTCATCACCTAATATTATACAAAACAATAAATGATAAGAATGCCAAATTAAAAAGATTAAAATGCAAATGATAAAATAGTAAAATAAATAAATAAATACAATAATATATATATATATTAATATTAAGTCAATTATAATCACTATTTATTATTATTCTAATTACAATTACTTAGAAAAAAATAAATAAATAAGTAATAAAAATAAATAAGTAGTAAAATATTACATTTGAGATAAGATGAATAAATATGAGATAAACAAAACTAAGAAAATTTTTTTATACAAAAATAATAATGATAATAATTTGAACTAAAAGATAATATTAACAAAAAATACCAATGATAATAATAATAAAAAAAAAAATAAAAAATAATAACACTAAGTTTAACTAGTTCACTTTATTTAATGTTTCTCTACTTTTTTAACTCTTATTTAATATTTGTTATTAAACCCTAAACCCTAAACCCTAAACCCTAAAAAAAAAGGTAACGTGAAAAGAACATTTGATATGATATTAAGGGTGCAGGGCGCATTGATGTAACATATTTTATGTTTACATTTAATGTTTTATTTTAATTAATAAACATTTTTCATATACTTTATTTTTATAGTTTTTACCATTTTCTACTTATTACAAATAAATGCTTTAATATCGTATTTTCGGTTATTCTAACCTCTGACTGATCTTTTGGCCATAACTTTTTCTGCATATATCATTTTTGGCTAATTCCAGTTGCATTGGATTCTAACATCCAAGGCTTCAAAATGCATATATGGATCGCTGGATTTGGTGTTGTTTTCTATTTTTTATGATTTTTTGAAGTTGAGGCATATTTGCTTAATATTGTTGTGAAATTGCATTTGGACCCTTGTTATTTAATAATTATATTTGGGCTTTTAGATATTATTCAGGTCTGCATTTTGGCCACTTAATTTACCCTAATTAGAACTTATAAATAGACTAATGAGGTTCTGAATTAGAGAGATGATTAAACACTTTAAGCTTTTGAGACTAGGCCGAAATAAGAATCCTTATTTTTAGTTTCTCTCGAACTCTCTTGTTCTTTTCTCATTCTTGCTTAGGTTAAGCGTTTTGATGGAAGGCTAAACCTCTCGTTCAATCCGTGGAATCCAAATGTTGTAGTTCTGACTTGAGTTCTACATTAATTGCTCTGAGTTTGTTCTCTTTTTCTCTCTAATCTTAGAATTGTTTATTGCGATCGTGATTGACTTTTCTGTTGTTAGATTTCAAATTAGGACTCGATTGATGCTCTAATTTGATAATTAATGCAAATTAGGTTAAATGATTATTTGATTTAATTCGTAACTCTATCCAATTAGGTTGTTCGATTGAATTAATAATTGAATTGGGTGATTGTTTAAACGTAGATTTAAATCTTTAGATACTGCGATAGTCGAAGTTACACGTAACTGGTATTCTGTGGATTGATATTTCTTAATTCATTTTTTACTTACTTTAATTCTGTTCGTAATTTAATTTGATTAATTGCAATTTTCAAAACCTCAAAAACCTTATTTGCATTTTTTAAAAAAAAAACCTAAAATTAAATTTGACTGAAAATGTGTCTCTGTGAATCGACCTAGGTTTGGCTCTATACTACAAAATCTTTAGAAAACTTAATTTTTATTATAGCAACTCCACAGTTGTCTATCCTATATGGGCTATTACCTATGCACTGGTGTAGGCATCGAGCCTTATGCTTGCCTTTCTTTTTTATTTTTAAACTCATGTTATAATTTCTTAAGCAAATAAACAAACAAAATAAAATAAACAACAACTATTGTATAACTACATCGAGTATCTTTCTTTACTTCACTTTTTACATCCACACACAGCAAAAAAAAAATAAAAAAAATAAGCCTTGCAGCGACAAATAGATGTAAGTCTTATGCTAAGAGGAGAAGACAATACTTAGTTCGGCAATAGAAGATAACAAAATGATAGAAATGGTTTTTCTCTTTCTTTCTGATTTCTTCTTCTATTTTATTGTTTATTTTCTTTTACTCTCTTCTCAACTTTGTCCTCTATTTTAACTCTTCCTTCAGAAAAATTTGTTACTTCCTTCCAAGAAATTTGCTGCCTCCTCTTGAAAATCTTCCTTTTTCTCTAATTTTTTTTTTGAGATTTATAGCTATCGCTTCTAAAATTTTTTTTGCTCCCTCTCCCAAAACTAGTTCTCGCCTCCTCTCCCCTTCTGAAAGCTCTCTCAGATCTCCTCTAAAAAAATGCTCTCTTGATTTTTCGTTCCCCTAAAAACTTGTTATCTCTTCTTTGAATTTTTTTTTTTGCTTTCTTCCACTGAACCTCTCAAAAATCTCCTTTGGATTTCTTACTTGAGGTTTCTATACCTCTCTTCAATCTCACGTTTTTAGGGTTTCATAAAATGCCAAATCTTTGAGCCTTTTCCTTTTTCATGCTTAAAATCAATTTTTGATATTGGGGTATAAGCACTATATAGTGCAGGCTTCTGTTTCCAGGAACCACTTTTCTTTTTCAAAATTTTTCCATTTTCTATAAAAATTAATTTTATTTTTATATTTTTAAGAAATTTTGGAGCCAATCCCTACAAGGCAAAAATTGGTTTTCATAGTATAGAATGGCGTTATATGCAACCTTTTGGCCAATTTCTACCAGTAGGAAGGTAAATGTTGTATAAAATTATAGTGCAATATATGTAAAATATAATGTAGTTTGTGACGTAAACATTGTAATGATTGACAATTATGTTCTGGTGGCAAAGTTTCAAATGTTCTTCTAATACACATAATGGGTGGTTGGTGGCAATTAGGATCAAAGTTGACATGATTTGTCTTGAAGGGGTAAGCAAAATAATATGACATTCTAATAATATCATCATTATTTTAATATGATAATATGATGTTAATATTGTGTTATTTGTGATCACAATTTAGGTAGAGGCCGTAAAATCACTTATTTGTGAGATGAATTAAACCTGAGTTTATGTATGATGATAAAGATATTTGGACTTCTATCACCTTTCTTATATGTTGTACTATTATTTAATGACATGTTCCAGACTGTGGTCTTCATTTGTTTGGTGGAGCCTAGCACATTCCATCACAAGCAATGAATATTGACAAATTTCATGACGGTGAAGGATGCAAGATACAAGGTCAACCGAGATGGTGGCATGATCATTTCAAGGTGTATCATCAAGTATGGGTATGACGTATTGTTTGCCACATTAAGGTTAATATGGTTGGTGACATCAAACAATCACGTGTGTATATATAGTGGTACTCATCATTTGCACATAGGTTTATGTCAAGAGTCCCTTATGATTAAGCATTAGTTGATTTGTCGAGCAATGTCTTGAGCACAACACCTCCACCTCCAATTATCACATATCCACTAATGTCACAGGTGAAAAGAGCCCAGGTCATTGTCTTTGTATTAGGACATGTGCAAGTAGACAACAATATATAGAGGGCGTGGATGAAGACA